TTTTGATGTCGGTCCGTGTGGATGTAGTAGATGCGCTGTGTCATCGAGGAAAGACTATGACTAACCGTTACCCCCGTGATTACGTTGGAGGCATTCTCTGAGTTTGGACGAGTATTTTCCGTCGCTCTTCTTGATGGACTTCTTCACCATTCAGTGCGAAGTGTACAGAATAAAACCCTGCCGAATCCATCACTACGATGCTTCGTGTCATATCAAATGTAAATCGATCAACTTGGCGTGCGCTACAAGCAAAAGTCGCTGTGAATTTGATCGATTATCCCTGCGAGGAGCCTGAGGCTTGTGATAAGAGGCCCCTCAGCGTGCGTAAAAGGGGAATTGTATATCCAGAAGGTGTCTTTGGGATGCGTTTAGTAGAAGGTCCTCGATCGTTGCGTTGCTTGTCGTGTGAATGGGGCGTTGTGATTACATCGTAGCGTTTTTGGTATATCTAATCGTATTGAGATTGGTGTAATTATCGTACATAGCTTGTTGCTGCCCAACCAGAACTACTTGATGGCTCCTGCTACTGACGCTAAATCGAAGGCGTCTAAGACCGGTGCCGCCCTCACCAAGGGTGTGCAGGTCAAGACCCGCAAGGTCAGGAAGAATACCACTTTCTTCAGACCTAAGACTCGTCAGACTCCCAAGGCTCCCAAGTAATTCTTGGCGACATACCTCGTCGAATCGGCTCTCATCACTATTCTGTAGGTACCCCCGTTCGGCTACTCCCACATTGACTAAGATGGACAAGTACCGCATCATCCGTTCCCCCATGACCTCCGAGTGGGCCATGAAGCACATCGAGGATCTCAACACTTTGGTCTTCCTCTGTGACATCCAGGCCACCAAGCAGCAGATTCGCGATGCCGTTGAGTCTCTTTACGACATCAAGTGCAAGAAGGTGAACACTTTGGTGCGTCACGATGGTCTTAAGAAGGCTTATGTCAAGTTGGCTGATGACTTCGATGCCCTTGATGTTGGTAACAGATCGGTATCATCTAATCAGCTTCGCGGATATCATTAGTTCCAACGAAATTGGGCGTGGCAGCGAACT